AAAATATCTAAAAAAAAAAAAGCTATTACTTACTTTTTAATGCTAAAAATTAAAGTATGTTTAATGTTTTCCTTTCCTTTTTTTTTTTTTTTTTTAAAGTTTGCTCTATGGCATGTACACTTACTGGAGAGAGACAGAGAGACAGGGAAAATGAGAAATCACCTGCTAGGGGGAATGACCATGGGGCAATCCCTTCTCCATTCTCCTCTTGAGAATTTAGGCACATATGAATATGTGCCTGATGTGATTTTCAAGCTGCTGGGTCCAGGACTTAAACATCACAATAGGCCATGCGGGATCCAACAGGCTTAACCTCCATGCCACCTGCTAGTTCTGTATGTTTAACCTTTTAAATTAAGAAATAAGATATAATTTCATAATAGATGGCTCTCTTGCATTAAAAAATCAAAAGAAATACACTAAAATGTTAATAGTAGTAGTTTCTGTGTGGGCGAAATGTCAGGTAATTTTAAATTTTCTTTTTTACTTGTATATAATTTTAAAATTTGTAGTTATGAGTATATACTTTCACGGTAGAAATTTTCTCTTATAAACAAAGAAAAATGACTAGCAGCAGAGGGAGGATGGTGTGAGGTCATTGTAGTTGCTTGTTTTAGGTAGAAAAAGCCTAATTCCTTTGAATCACCAGTTCTTACAATAGGCTTTGAATCTCATACCATGAAAAAGTGAGAAGTGAAGGTGTGAGTCAGTTTAAGCAGGCAATACTCTCTCCTCCTACCTCACGCTTCCTCCCTGTAAATACTATGCCTCCGTCTCCAGCTGTTCTGAGCACGTCTGCATAGAAAGCCTTGTCTTGGGGTAGATTTATATGAAGATGGTGCTGAGGGTCTTAGAGAAGGATTTGAAGGCAGGGTACAAAGAGAAAGAACAGTGACCACAGGAGTCTAGCAGTGATTTAAAGATTTTGTTTTTTTCCTTTATGAGGGAGAGAAGGAAAGAGAGAGAGTTAAAGACAGACATTAAAAAAAATTTTTTTAAAGAATTACTTATTAGGCCAGCAGGTGGTGTGGTAGTTAAGGGTGCGGAACTCTCACATGGCAGACTGTGGTTCAAGTCCTGGACCTGGCATCACTTTCTCTCTCTCTCTCTCTCTCTGGTCAAATTAAAATAAATAAATAAATAAATATTTATTTTAATTTTGAAAAATAATTACTTATTTAAATTTATTTATTATTTATAGTATTTTAATTTGTGGCAGGGCATATGTGCTCATCAGAGAGAGCCGTCTAACTACCATGCCAAATGCTGGCCCGAGACAGACATTCTATCTATCTATCTATCTATCTATCTATCTATCTATCTATCTATCTATCTATCTGTCTGTCTGTCTATCTATTTATTTTTGCCAGGGAGTGTGTACACTATTTAGAGAGAGACAGAGAATGGGGAGAGCTCCCCCAGTGTAATATGGTCATACTGGAACCACTTCTCTTTCATTTGTCCATCTTGTTGGGGTTTGGGGCATGCACACATATGCACCTGGTGTGTTGTCAAGCTGCTAGGGCCATGATTTAAACCATGGTCAGTCATGTGGAATCTGACCACGGGGCTACAGGGCTGGCCTCAGAGATAGATAGTCCTGACAGTGCTTTGCTGTGATCCTCCTGCTCCAGCCTCCCAACTAGGTATGCACAACAGTATTCAGCGTGTTCAGATTGGCTGGCAAACTGAACCCAAGTCTTCTATGTGGCTTCCAGCCTCCCAAGCAGTGGTGCTACCATGTGGCACTCCAACTGGGCCTAAAGAAAGTTTTATTAGAGGGGTGCTAATAATGCTACATATTCGACCTTTCTTTAAGGGAGCTTTTTTTCTCTTTTTTAAATTTGTTAGCAGGCACAAGTACTTGCTGGAGAGAAATAGAGAAAGGGAAAGTGAGAAAGCAACCCCTGCTCCTATGGGGCATGGTCACTCCACATTCGCTTCTCCTCCATTTCTCCCTCCTTTCAGGATTTTGGGCATACACACACATGTGCCCAGTGTGTTTCTCAAACCACTGAGTCTGAGACTCAAACTGTGCAACTGGCCATGTAGGATCCAGCCTCTGCCACCAGGGCATGGGTGGCTAGAGAGCTTTAAATCTTCTACATTTGTTAGCCTTTTGTCTTTAGAGCTCACCAGGGAGGCCCATAGAGTCAAATCTACCAGTCTCACTCTCTTCCTTTGAGAAAAAAAGCAGGAATTCCTAAAGAGAGTGACAACCTGGACATTATCTCACATTGGAACTGTCTTCCCACCATCCTCTGACCACTCACCCAGTCTACCCGAGAACCCACACTGAGCACAAGGAGAGATTTCAGGTGGAGAAGCAGGGTACCTGAAGCTTCCAGGATATAGAAGAAGCAATTCTATACTCAAATAAGACCATATGACCAAGTACCAGTGGTTCAGACTCAAAGTGTTCTAGGAAGGGAGAGGATGATGGCTGGTCTGGTAGGTCTGGGGTCTCAAGGAAAGACTAACACATGAGAAATAATTTATTTATATTTGCCAGAAGGTGTGTGCACTCACCAAAGAGAGACAGAGAGATATATATAGAGAGAAAGTGAGAAATCATCCCCCAGTAGGGGATGGCAGTACTGCAATCCCCTCTGCTCTGTTCCCCTCTCAGGAGTCTGGGCTGGCACACACACAAGCTCAGCATGATTTTCAAACCGCCAGGTCTGGGACTCAAACTGCTCAGTCAGCCAAGTGGGATCCAGCTGCCTTAACCTCCATGCAGTCTGCTGGCCCAATTAATAAATTTTTATTTGCTGGATAAATGAATAAGTGAATGAACAAATAAAGGACCTAGGTGTCAAAAGTTTTAAATAATAGGGACTTACATTCACACCTATGTGGAATTGACCAACCTCATTATAAACGTCTTAATCACTGTTACCTCATTTGAGTCTCATAATAGCCCTGTGAGAAAAGTAGGACAGAAATTGTTCTCCCCATTCCCCCAGATGAGGAGATGGGGCCCTAGAGTGATGGATTGACTTTTATTAATTCAGCTTACATTTACTGAATGCTATTCTGCACTAGAATTTGTGCTAAAAGCCAGGCATGCAGAAATAAAGTACATTAAGTCCCAGATGCTCAGTCTAAAAGAGAAGCTGAAGTAGTAAACAGTTCGGAAATGACCCAAGTGCTGAGGGAGTGTTCAAAAGCACAGATGCCTGAGTGTGCTCCTCTGCTATATGCAGGGAAAGTGACCCTTGACATGGACTGACAAGCATGAATATGAATTTGTAGGAAGAAAAGAGAACTCTAGGCAGAAGAAATACATGCGTAAAGGGGCAAAGACAAGACATAAGGTGGCATGTTTGGAGTGAAGTGGGTGATTTGATATGATAGCATAGGTTGGTGAGAAGGGATGGAGCAGATAAACCTTACAGACTCGTTGTTTGATTAGTTGAACAGTTTGAACTTGATCTTTAGAGTCATAGGGAGCTATAACACTTTTTTAAAAAAGTTTATTTATTTATTCATTTATTTATTTAGAGAGATTTTTGCTGTAGGGCACATGTACTCACCAGACAGACAAAAAGAGACAGAAAGAAAGAAATCGCCCCCAGGGGAATGGCCACACCACAATCCCTCCTTCTCCATTCTCCTCTCAGGATCTTGGTACCCGCACACATACACCCAGTGTGAGTTTCAAGCCTCCAGGTCTGGGATTCAAACCATTGTTGACCATGTTGGAGTCCAGCAATCTAACTGTTATACCATCTGCTGGTCCCAAGCCATAAAATATTTAAAGCAGTGGAATCATAACCTTGTACTGAGCTCTTCTTGGGATGTTCATGTGTTTGCTATAGTTGGCTTTTTTTTTTTTTTTCCTTTTTCTAATTTTGCTGCACAGCAGAGGAGGAGGGAGTGGCGGGGAAAAAGTGATAAAGCACCTTCCATGCCATAATTCCTTCTCCATTTCTCTCTCTGGGAATTTGGGCATGCACGCACAGTTGCCAGGTGTGTCTCCCATGTCTCTAGGTCCAGGACTTGAACCATACAATTGGCCATGTGAGATCCAGCATCAACCACCATGCCACCTGCTGGCCTGGCTTTTTTTTCTTTTTTTTTTTAAATTTTATTTACTTATTGTTGTTTTGCAATTTGACTGGAGAGAGACAGAGAGAAAGAAAGGGAGAATGAGAAAGCAAGCTGCTAGGTCCAGGACCCAAACCTGGGTTGGCCATGTAGAAGTCCAACACCTTAACCACCACTCCACCTGCTGCCCCCTCTTTTTTAAAATATTTTTTAAAAGTTTATCTTATTCATGATAGAGAACATGCATGAGAGAGACAGACAGACAGACAGAGAAGCACCCCTGACAAGGTCTTGTCACTCCATGCTCCCCTCTCTCCATCCCTCCATCTCCTCTGAATCCTGGGTATATAAATGTGTACCTGCCTGTCTTCAAGCCCACCCAAAGATATAAACCTCTGATCAGCTTTGTAGTCCCCAGCACTGCAGTTCAGTTTGCTACGGACTGTGCCACCAGGCTAGGCCATTATTGTATTATATTTTAGTTTTTTAAGCTTAGCTCAGGAGCTGCCTCCTGCACGAGACTCAGATTACAGTGGCTCCAGGTCAGGTTAGGTGCTTCCTGTCCACTTCCTCAGCCAGGGCTTATCACATATCGATTGCCTTGTTACTCTGTGTTTTCTTGCTCTTTTATTTGAGTCTGTACCCACCCAGAGGTCAGACACCATGTCTGATTCATATTTGTTTTCCTCAGACCCAGCTTAGGGCTTGACCCAGAGCAATGTGCTCAGCAAATATTAGCTGAAGGAATGAATGGGAGGAACTGGGTTCCACCCCAATCCTAAGACAACATTAGGGGCAGGTGTAGTAATGGGGTGATTCTGGGTAGTGTGCATTTCCACAGTGATGCTGGGGTGGGAGTGAATATGTGAATGGCAGATGATCCTTAGAGGTTGGTGACTCCACATGACACTAGCGGTGTGTTTCCAAACAACCACAGTTCTTTTTTGCAGATGGCTTCCGTGACTGATGGTAAAACCGGAGTCAAAGATGCCTCTGACCAGAATTTTGACTACATGTTCAAACTGCTCATCATTGGCAACAGCAGTGTGGGCAAGACCTCCTTCCTCTTCCGCTATGCTGATGACACCTTCACCCCGGCCTTTGTCAGTACTGTAGGCATTGACTTCAAGGTGAAGACAGTCTACCGCCATGAGAAGCGAGTGAAGCTGCAAATTTGGGTGAGTCCTAGACATACTGGGGAGGGCTGTCTTGATAGACGACTAGAATGCCAGTACAAGGGCTGAGAGGTGAGTCCAGCTTGGAAATCTGGGCCTTACAATATCAGGTAATAATGCTGTTGTTGGCCGCTGGGCTGTACATGCTGGTTTTGTATAAATTTACTCTCCTCTGGGGGGTTCAGTTACTTCCACTGCTTAACTGCCCAAGAAACTTTAACCTGGCTTGTACAAATGAGTCATGAAGAAACTGGGCTTTCTACATCTGCCACTTGATAGCCATGAAAACTTTATTAAATTACTTAACTTCTTTGGACTACCCTTCCTTTTTTTGGGATTATAATAGCATCTACATCATATGGCTATTGGGTATGAAGCATAGTTCCTGGAACACAATAAATGCACAATAAAGGTAGCTAGCTACTGTATTAGTTATCTATTGTTGCATAAAAAATCACTTCAAAAAAGGTTGTTGTAAGACAACAATTACCTCATAGATCCTGTTAGGAATGGCTTGGAGCCTCTCATGAGGTCTAGTCAGTTGTTGGCTTGGCTTGTAGTTATTTGAAGGATTGGCTGAGACTGGAAGAGTCACTTCCAAGGTGGTATATTCACATGTCTAATGCTGGCTATTGGCAGGGGTCTTCTTTCCCTTCCATTTGGTCCTCTTAGAATGTCTTCATAGAGCTATAAAGACATCTTCATAGAATGTCTTAAATGAAGATACTTAAGTGTCTTCATTGTGTTGCAGTTTGCATCCCCCAGGGGAGATCTAAGAAACCAAATAGGAAATGGCGATGTCTCATAAGAGAGACATTGCTAATGTCTCAATGTCTCTTATGACATAGCCTCAGAATGTGTTGTTGGTCACTGATTCAGTATCAGAGACCACACAAAGGTGTGAATATTGCTAAGAGAGGTTCATTAGGGATTGTTTTGGAAGACAGCTACTACTGTGACTATTATTTTTTCAAAAATTATTTATTTAATTTTATTATTATTTAAAAAAATTTTGTATAGGGCACATGCACTCACCAGAGAGAAAGAAAGGAAGAGAGAGAAAGTGAGAAAGCAAGCTACCAGGTCTGGGACTTGAACCACAGTTGGCCATGTGGGAGTCCAGTGCCCCAATCACCATGACACCTGCTGGCCCCAACCTCTGCTTCTATTATTGGTACCTACCAATGGTACTAATAAAATATCTACATATTTTAAATGATATAGCAACATGTAGATCATATAGTTTTCTTTTTCATAATTTAAAAAAAGTTTTAAGAATCATTTACATAATTTTATTTATTATTATTATTTCTTAATTTGACCAAAGAGAGAGAGAGGGGAAAGTGAAAAATTAAGCAACCAGGTCTGGGACTTGAACCATATGGGAGTCTGGCTCCTTAACCACTATCCACCTACCACGTCCAGAGCATATAGTTTTCAATAATGAATTAGGACAGGGATTAGAAATTGTGCAATTTAAAGTATTTAAAACATATATTTATTAACTGTCCATTCTACTTGTTAAAAGCACATTTATACATTATACATGTATCTTGTTGGGACAGGCTATTTATAGCCTCTTTTTACAAATTATTTCCAATATATTAATATTATCTCACAATTAACACTATGAAGTAGATACTATTTTAATATACACCCGTTTTACAGAAGAAAAAAACTCAGACTCAGATGAATTAACTCATTTTAGGTCATCTATATAGCTGTGAAGTAGGATTCAAATTCAGATCTTCTGATTCTAAATTATGTGCTCTTTTCACTACTTGTGCATCTAAAGTCTTTTAGAGTCATATTTTCATTTATGATAATATTAAATATTAGTTTATAGAGAAATAAAAGTTTGTGTTGTTCATTTACTCTATTAAAGTCATTAAAGAAGCAGAAATCATTAGAAATGGGAAAAGCTGGCCCAGTGTGGTGGTACATTGCTAAGGTCTATGCTCCACAGGCTGGGATCATGAGGCAGGCCCAGGTTCGTGCACCAGTCTGATTTCTGAGGAACAGAGACTATCTAAGAAAGAGTTGAGTGTGGTGGTGCATGTCTGTAGTCCCAGGTGGGATACTGAGGCAGGAGAATCATGACATGAGACTCTATTTTTAAGAAAACTGGGGGACCAGCAGGTGGTGTGGTGGTTAAGGGTGCTGGATTCCCACATGGCCGACTGTGATTTGAGTCCCAGATCTGGTGGCTTACATTCTCACTTTCCCTTTCTCTCTCACTCTGTTCCTCTCTCTGGTCAAATTAAAATCAATCAATCAATAAAGTTAGATAAAATCATTCTTAAAAAAAAAAAGAAATGGGGAACCAGCAGTTAGCGTAATGGCTATGTCGCTGGACTCTCACGTAGTCGACCGCGGTTCGCGTCCCGGACCCGGTGACTTAAAACTCACGCTGGGTGTGTGTGCGTGTGTGCCCAAGATCCCAGGAGGAGAATGGAGGAGAAGGGATTGTGGCGTGACCATCCCCCCTGGGGGGTGATTTCTCGCTTTCTGTCTCTATGTCTCTCTGTCTGTCTGGCGAGCACACATGCCCTATAGCGAAAACCTCTCCAAAAAAAAAAAAAAAAAAAAAATGGGGGGGGTCAGCGGAAAAAAAAAAAAAAAAAAAAAATGGGAGGAGTCAGCAGGGGGCGTAGTGGTTAAGGTGTTATACTCCAACATGGCTGATTGCACTTCTAGTCCTGAAGTGGGAGCTTAAAAATCACACCAGGCATCTCCACTATTTAGTTTTAACTAAACGAAACCTCACAATAGTTATATGACTATAAAAGAGTCCCATAAGGGGCCAGCAGGTGTTGTGGTGGTTAAGGTGCTGGATTCCCATATTGTCGACCACAGTTCACATCCTGGACCTGATGGCTTGAAAAATCACACCAGGCATGTGGGTGTGCATGTGCCCAAAATCCAGGAGGAGAACGGAGGAGAAGGGATTGTGGCATGGCCATCCCCCCTGGAGGATGATTTCTCACTTTCCCTCTCTGTCTCTCTTTGTCTCTCTCCAGCAAGTATATATGCTCTATGGCAAAAAACTTTAAAAAAAAAAAAAGAGTCCTGTAAAGAAACCTCTGATTGAAGACTATGCTAGTTATAGTAAACCCAAGCGAGCATAAAAAATGGCTAAACCAATGTTTCTCCAGACTCCCAGCATAAGTTCATTGTCAGTCACGATTCCAGGTAAAATTAATGATGGTCTAATGATATCTGACATAGTAAATTATATCACTTCTGCTAAAAAAAATTAGCAAAGGATTTTTTAAAAATTTCTTAATTGTCAGAAAGCATGTGTTCTCACAAGTGAGAGAGAGCACCTCCCTGTAGGGTGTGGTCATATCACAATCTTTTTTTCTCTATTTCTCCATCCTGTTAGGATTTAGGGTAGCATGTTTTTCAAGCTGCTGGGGTGGGATTCAAACTGCAATTCACCTGCGTGGGATCCAGTGCCTTAACCACCACACCACTTACTGACAATAGAAGAATTTTAACAAAGTCAGATTTGCATTTTAGAAAAATCCATGACTTCAGAACCAGTAGATGGTGTAATGGTTATGTTGTTGGATTCCCACATAGTCAACTGAGGTTTGAGTCCCGGACTCAGTGGCTTAAAACTCATACGGGGCTCATTTGTACACATGCCCCAAATCCCAAGAGGACAGTGGAGGAGAATGGATTGTGGCATGGCCATCCCCCTGGGGGTGGGGGTGATTTCTTGCTTTCTAAAGTCTCTCTGTGTCTCTATGAGCATATGTACCCTATAGAAAAAAAATTCTCTCTCTAAAAAAAATATATATATTAATAATATAAATAAATAAATAAATGGAAAAAAAGCCATGGCTTCAGTTTGAAAAGCAAATGAATATGAGTCAAAGAAATCAGTAGTTGGGTCCAAATTCATCAAATTGTGTACATTAAATATTTGTATGTTTTGGGTATATCAGTTATACCTTATAAAGTTGTTTTAAAAAATCATGTATATATACATAAAGTATTGACTAAATATTTAAAAAAAGGAATGAAGGAAATAAATTAGGAAGGAAGAAAGGGAGGAAGGGAGCAAAGAAGGAAGGAAAAAAATAGTCGTTTGGTAAATTATAATGGGGCTAAACTAAGAATATTAGTCTTCTCAGGAGGCCAGAACAAAATACCACAGACTGGGTAGCTAAAAACCAGAAATTAATTTTCTCACAGTTCTGGAGACAGGAAGTCTAAGATCAAGGTGGTAGTATTTGGTGAGGACTCTTCTCTTGGGTTATGACAGCTGCCTTTTTCTCTCTGGGCTCACCTGGCCTTTCCTCATGCATGGACATGATAAATAATGTGTATGAGTGGGACCAGCAGATGGCATAATGGTTATGTCACTGAACTCCCACATAGTCAACCATGGTTTGAGTCCTGGAACTGGTAGCTTAAACCTCACCCCAGCCGCATGTGCGTACATGCCCAAAATCCTGAGAGGAGAATGGAAAGGAAGGGATTATGGCATGGCCATTCACCCCTGGGGGGTGATTTGTTGCTTTCTGTCTCTCTGTCTCTCTGGTGAGCACATATGTCCTATAGCAAAAAACTCTAAAAAAATGTACATGAGCTCTTTGGTGTCACTTTTTTTTTTTTTTGAGAGATTTTTATTATTATTTTTGTTATAGGGCACGTGCGCTTGCCAGCCAGACACAGAGAGACAGAAAGCGAGAAATCATCCCCCGGGGGGGATGGCCACGCCGCAATCCCTTCTCTTCCTTTCTCCTCTCGGGATCTTGGGCACGTATGCACGTACATGCGCCCGGTGTGAGTTTAAGCCACGGGGTCTGGGACTTGAACCGCGGTTGACTACATGGGAGTCCAGCGACATAGCTATTACACTAACTGCTGGTCCCCCCTGGTGTCACTTTTCATAATGAAACTAATCTTACTGAATCTGGGCTCAGTTTTATGGCCTCATATAACCTAATTACTCCCTTAGAGGCCCCAAATTCAACCACACTGGAGGTTAG